GGGTGGGGGCAGATGAGGCACCTCCTCAAGGTTTCTGCTGGGCTTTGTCTGTTCTTGGAGTACTGTTTGTTCCTCTTTATGAGATAACTCCTCATTTATCTCAGTCTTGGCACCAAGCACAGATGGATGACGTATGGAATAAAATAAGTTGGAGGTGACCAGTTTCATCCCTGACTTGTTAAAATTAAATCCATTTGCTTTAAACAGATGCCTGCGTTCCCAAAAATATTAAAACTTCTTGATAAAATGCACTGAGTGGTCAGTACATGCTGATATAAGGCATTTATTCAGTGCAAACAACCTGGTGAATCTCTCGTCCCCTCCTCTGACGGGCGGTACAGGTCCACTGATGAATACAGCTGCATTCAGAGAGTTTACAGTACTTAATAATCCAGTAAAGTCCCATTTCAGAACCTCCGACTGTTGTTTGGACACATTGTTTGACCCTGTATGCAGAACAATGTTTGTCACAGTTGGATATTCATCTGCAATTTGAAGAATTCTCTCCTTCAGGTTGTTGACCATATCCTTAGGAAAGCAGAGGACTTTAGTGTTCTTACCGCACATCCTTTGTACATCTTTTACGGCAGAGTCACACACAATCAGAGTTTCAGGCCTAGCCTTTAGCTTTTCCTGTGGCCTTTCACTTTTCAACAGATTTTCAGACCTTACTTTGCTACTTTTAGATGGATGGTTGTCCGATATAGATCCAGGGTCCTTTGATAGTGGAGCAAATCTGTTCTGCAGTTTGACATTCAGTTGTTTTGGAGGTTTGTTGTTAACCTTCCTATTCACGGTTGTCCAGTCCTGTTTCCTCCCGTATACAGAGGTAGAAGAGCTTCTCTGTGTCATAGGAAGTGAAGGCCAGTCGGTTTCAGAGATTTCAGCTCGCTGTGCCCTGCCTGTGATACGTCCTCCCCCTTCCAGGAGACATGATTTATGTCTTGGTTTTGCACCAAGACAGTCCAAGGGGGGGTTATCGCTTGAGGATTTATTATAATGCATGAGGTCATGTTATCTGTGCTCCTTAGCTGTGTACTAGCTTGCTCATCGCCATTGTTTTGAATCAAAGGCAAGGTTGTTTCATTTCCACACAGTCCATTTACCTCCACGTTTACTTCTAAGCGATGAATTTTTGTCTCCAGTACTGCAATCTTCTGCAGGAGGCTGTGGTAGTCATCTGTGGAGAGGGAAGGCATCTTGTTGCTAGTTAGCCTAGCGGTTAGCACCTTTCCAGGCTATTGAGGCTGTTCGGTGCCCAGACACTGTAATCAGGCTTCAGCTGTGTGTGGGCCACAGACACACGGAGCGCTGAAGATAAGGTAACTATAAAAATGTTGCTGTTTCTGTTAAGAACACTTTAGTCCTAATGATCTATAAGTGTCCAGTGTCCAGAAGCTATCGCAGTAGGCTCATACGGGAAAAAAAGGGGGAAAAATCAGCATAAAAAGAAATATCAATAAAAGAAGGAAAGCAAATCAATAAAAGAAGCAAAGCATTCTCAACTAACATCAACACAGGTGATGCCTTGTGTCATTTGTTATTGTGGTAAATTAGATGATCTTTTTTCTGGACTGCACATGTGTAGACAAGACAAAACAAAACGAGCTGTTGCGCCACACTTCAGATTTGTAACAAGACTGGATATTGGACGGAGGCGCCTGAACTCTTCACTGGAATTGCATTCTTGGACCGAGCTGTTAGATGTTTTCAGGCTGATCCAGGAGGGGCCACTGGGCTTGTTATTGTTGAAACCCTGTCAGCTGACTAGTGTCTCCGAGGGCCAGAAGATTATTAATGTGAAGCTCTGCTTAAACAAACTTTTACAGACCACCAGAGTAAAATGTCTTCTCAAAAGATTAGGCTTAAAAGCCAAAAGCCTTTTGGCTGGTGTCAGTGCATTTTTGTTACTATGAGTGGATGTGATGGGGATTCAGACATGAGCAGCATGTCCTGCTTGGATGTACTTCCTTTCAAATGCATTGATTTATTGCTTACTAGCCGCAAATCTTTCTATCCCTATGAGGTCTGGGCCATCATATGTAATAAACCTAAACTTAACCCAACCTAGAAAGGCAAAACTGTACTTAACGTGTCTCAGTCATGTGAAAAACAAAGTTTTCACAAGACTATACAGTGAAATAATCATTTATAACATCTTTTTAACATTGCTTTAGTTCATTGCCATTGCAGCATCAGTTTATGCAAAGCTCTCTGAAGGTCCTGCTATCCCTATTTTCAGAGTGGAGATCTGGACTGTGGGCCATTGCAACACCTTGATCCTTTTTATCTTTTAGTCATTTTGTTGGCGATTTCTTGGGATCAATGTCCTGTTGCTGGTGTCGGACAGTTGGCCTCACATTTGACTCTGGAATTCTTTGGCATGTAGAGGAGTTCAAGATTGACTCAATGACTGTATCCAGGTCCTGGTCATGTGGTTGCACAACAAGCCCAAAACTTCCCCTCTCCACAGATCAGTTAGCCGATTTTTCATCATTCCAATTCATCATTTGGTCATCTGCCTGTCATGACCATTTTTAAAATGCCTGATGTGTTTTTATCAACTGTAATCAAGCCAATTTAATTTATGTCAGTTTTACGACTAATTTAATGGTGTCAAACTCATTTTGGTTCAGAGGCTGCACAGTCCAGTTCGATCTAAAGTGCACACGTCCAATTAAACTATTCCCTAATAACCTATTAAGAGGTTTAAGTACTTTTTAAAAACATTTACATTTCACATGCAGAAGGAAATTCAGACTCTCTTGAGATGGAAGTTCAAAATACATGTCCTTCTTGGCAATTTTCACAATTTAAAAAGCCATAAAGTCGACTCTTTTGGCCACGTTTGACTTTGCTGCTTTTGGCACAGCTGATAATGATATTCTAATTAAGAGACTTAAGCTCTTAATATATTCGAATATATCAAGAGCTTTTCAGTTGTTTCTTCTAATTTTGTTTCCACTTTTGTAACTTTACTTTGCGGTGTGCCCCAAGGTACGGTTCTGGGGTCTGTCTTGTTTGCTTTGTATATGCATCCACTTGGACACATCCTGAATACCTCTGAAGGCATCTCATTGTTACTCAGATAATATCCAGTTGTACATTTAATTTAAACCCCAGAATGTAGCCAAATTTTCTGTCCTCCGGACTGCATCCATGTTGTAAAGAACAGGATGGAAGCCAAACATCTGTCTTTAAATACTAACATAAGAACGGAGGTTCTTATCTGTGCCCCTGACAACTTCATTTCCACACTGATTGAGAATTTTGGACGCATTTCATGTTCAGTTCTCCTGACTGTGAGAAATTTGGGTGTTACTTTTGATCAGGCATTGAGTTTTGATAAGAATGTTGGCTGTATTGTATAAATGTGTTTTTATCATCTGCAGAACATTGGCAGTATTAAGTATATTCTGATTACACATACTTTTATTTCATCATGCCCTAATTATTGTGATTCATTATTCCTATGCCTGCAAAAATCATCCCTGGATCACTTACAAATAGTACAGAATGCTGCTGCAAGTCTTCTCACCAGGTGCACCAAAAGCTTCCATGTGACACTGATTCTGACCTCTTTATGTTAAAGTTTAGGATTCAGTTTAAGATTTCGAGGATCACATTCGGTTCTGTCCCTATATTAGTGAACTACTACATCTATAAGTAACTACTAGGTTATTCAGTGCTTGTTGCTTGTACAAAGGTCCAGGTTAAGGACAAAAAACAGAATGCAGGTTTGTGATTGTGACTCCCTAGTTGTGGATCTCGCTCTCATTGGACGTAAACTTCTTTTTAAAGGTATCGACTGTGTCCACAGATCCTAAGACTAACTTCTGAAGGCTTGCTTTTATTTAGTTTTATCCATTTATACTGTTTTAATTGTTGTATTTTATTTTATTTTGTGTAGCAATTTGTCATAATTGGGAGACAAAAATACAAAATCCTCAACCCACTAGTTGAGGATTTTTTTGACCATGCTTTTGCAGTTTATACCTAATCTTTAAATCAGAAATCTGCAAATTAGAGTCATAAAGGATCAGAACCACAGGACACTAACAGGTCCTCAGATTTCTCAGCTTTCCCACAAGCCAAGTTCTGGTCCACCTTGTTTAACATGTGGTTTTCATTGTAGCCAGATCTCTCCTCTCGCTCTCCTTCTCTCTTTATTTGATTTTTCTCACTCAGTCTCTGGAGTCGTCCAAGTATAACAAATGCTTGGACCGAAGCCCTAGCCCAGTTGTAAGACCCACTTTGGCCTTTATTTGCCAGATATGTCACTTTTTGTGTGTGATAGGCTCTGTAATAAATATAAATATAGTTTTGTGACATGAATAAAGTTATTGTCTGCCTGCATTAAAGGTCTGGTTCCATGTATTAACTTTTCAGGGGATAATCTACATGTTCCTCATCCAACATGCTAGATAATAATAATGAAGGCACCATAAAACATACTTTTAATGTATAATTAACCCTAATGCACTTTCTATGAATCAAAAAGCTCTTATTTAATCTCCAAGAAAAGATATTTCCTCAGCAGGTCATCAATAAAAAAGTTATTTGTAGCCTTTTCCAGACCTCAAGATAACAGGTGACTTATTTTCATTTAAAGTTCTGTTATATCTTTTAGTAAAGCTACAGAAACATCACATATAGACACAACATGAAAAGCATTATTTATATTACTTAAATCTATGTTTCTGACTCAACATCATTACAAAATAGTTCTGTTTTAATTGGGATTACCTTTGTTTGCATAAAAACATAAACATAAAATCTCTAACAAACTGATGATTTGTCTCTTTGTCAACATATTACTTAATTTTACATTTTAAAAAAGAGAGAAAAGCTTTAAAGAAGTGTGTCTCCTATTGAAGACAAGTTGTCTTGCAGCATTCAAGTTATTTATTACAAAATATTTTTTTTCTTCTTTATACAGGACCTCCAGGGCCTAAGGGAGAGAAAGGGGACACTGGAGAATTGGGCCCCCCTGGGGTTCCTGGTTTGACTGGCTTGAGAGGTGAGTACAACCAGTCATTTATTGAGAAACATTTCATAGTGAAGTTTTCAATTACAGCTCCAATAGAAAATTAGTCCCTAAAAGGTGTCACAAATCCCATGACGATTAAATAACTTGATTCCGTGATTCCAGAAAGTTGATTCTGTTTATTTGGACGTAGTGTTTTCAGTGGGAAAAAAGTTTGACTTCTTCAGGAGACTGAAGAAGTCAAACTGAAAAAGTCAATTGAAAACACATCCAGATGAACAGAATCCACTTTTTTGGGATTTCCTTACCTGGATGATTGAGCAGGCATCCAAACAACTTGATTCTAATGTTATATTTCTCTGGCCGTTTGGTGATTTTCCTACATTTTTTTTATATCCTTTACATCCTTTTGTCTTGACCAGCTTTTCTCCACATAACAAGTTTCTAACCTGAGTCAGATTGATAAACTCTCTCTAAAAGCACATATTGTATATTCATTTTGAACTGTTTAAGCATTTAAAATAGCAACTCAGAATGTGGTGATTTCAGGATGTTGAAAAACATTTAAACATGTCTGTGAACAAAAGCAGATAAAAAAAAATGTTCCCTCATGAAGATATGTTGAAGTTTATTTTTTATCTAGTTAAAATAAACTTATCTAGTCCTTATCTGTATTTTATCTAGATTAATCTTCCTTCAAGTAGAAGGTATAGAAATGTAAAAAAAAAATAGATGGATTTAAATGCTACAATACTCCAAACCTTCATCCTGATCTGCTTAACTTGTGGGAGTTGATGTAGTTTCCCAGCTTTGGAAGACACGTGCAAATTATCTGAACACAAAAAAGAAAGGAGGGTAAGGAAGGGTCTTGGCGTGAAGGTTCCACAAAAAAAGGTTCCATATGAGTTATAAAATATAGCTAAACTATATACGTGAATATCTCAAATTTAAGAGATACAAGACTTTTTTGGAATACCAGGATTTATGTTTGAGTGACACAAAAAATGAAAAATTAGACACTTTCTGTTTTTAAGCTCCCTATGGTTATGTTACATGCAGTTTCATTAATAACACTATGAGTGGGAAGAATTAAAGGTCATATAAAGCTGCTTAAGAAAACAAAGTGCAGACTTTGGGTGGGGATTTATTTTTACACAGGGCCAGTGAGACGTGTCATCTGTCTTAGTCTTGCAGGTAATTCCCCCAAAAATACAGCTTAAACCTTCATGCATTCACAGTGAGCAGCTCCGAAACATGACATGGCTATTTTTCATTGATACGGTGTGATACAAACAACAACAGCATGATTCCAGATGTTCTGGGTCCCCCTTTCAGCTTGGTACCTCTTGAATCATCACCCCTCAGGTTGTCTCCTGTCATCATCCATCCACATTCCCTGGCTAAAAATGAACATTTCCAAGAAGCATTATCTTCCTGTTGAAAGGGGACCCTTCCCCCCTCCCATCTCAGCCCATAATTCCAGGAAAATGTGGAAAAAAAAAAAAAAAGAATTGCTAACGTAAGTATTTACAAAGGCCTAACTTTTGTAAAAATCTAGCAAAGTGAATGGAACCAAACCCTCTGCAAGACCAAAACAAAGACAGAAAAATTAAACCCCTAATGTTAACTTCAGTGAAAAAGGGCTTTTTAGAGGGGATATGGTTTTTAATCAAAACAGTTAATGGCAGTAAGTCTGTTTGGGTTCAGCTGTTTTTGTTTGACTCAATTAAAGCTATTTTCCTTAAATTCTTAACATTTCTAACAACCAAGAATTCCTGCAGGTCATACCAGACGACGCTAAATTAGTCTAAGCAATCGTAATACGATGTACAGCATAAAATGGAAAAACATATTAATTCAAATTTAATTGTCCAAAGACATAAAGACAGGATGAGAGCTTAGCAATACAGTCTGCAGGTGGTTTTGACTGAATATGGAAACTGGTCAACTGAGAAAATATACTACGCTACTACTATCCTGCTACATACAATGATTTTACACAATTTTAATCTGTTATAGGAGTATGTGTTTTTGTCTTTTATTTATGTTCACATGCTTCTCAATGTTTGGTTTTGTTGATTAATCTAATATTGTATCAACCTGTCAGACTATAGATGAAAATTAGCTTGTGTGGCTAAATCTGACATATGTGCATGATGACTTTAAGTGCTTGTTAACATGCATATCCTTTTTTTTTTTTTTTTTTAAATAAATACAAACCTAAAGAAACTTACAAAAGACTATGAAAATCCAACCTGAACAGACCAAAACAGTGTGGGAACATCTTCACCAATTAAAAGAGGACAGTTAACTTAACATGCAGTGTTTCTTACCGAAGCAGGCTCTTTGCATCCCTGAGGTCTAACAAATCTACTGAATACATTTTCTGCCTCCCGCTGTGTGAGTTTGCTGACACGTTACTTCCTTCCTTCATGCGTTGCTTGGACTACCAATTAGACAAGATGACTGTCAATCAGCCTTTGTTAATGTTAGCAGTAATACAGCACAAAACAAAAACTACAGTTTAATTGTCATGAATGACAGTTTTATATTTCAACAGATGGAGTGGTATATGAATTATTCTAGTTCCCAAAAAGAATGGTTTGCAAGTGACATAAACCTATATGTTATTAACAACAGAACACAGAAAACAAATCAAATGTTTAAGCTGAGAAAATGTGCTATATTTTTATACCACTTCCTTACATGTTTTGCCATCAAATGGAAAGTGACTTTTTTTTCTTAAAATTTTAGATTTACTCAAGCGAAACATTTGATATGTTATCCGTGTGAAATAAATACTTTCAGTACATCCTAAACCTGCCATTAACTCCAATTAGTTTTAAGAATAAAAATGAATAGCGGGAGTTTTATTCACAAACATTATTATCAAAAACAAAATATATACAGTAAACTTAAGTCAACTTACAGCTTAAAATTTATTTTGAACAATTTCTGATTCATACTTTATGATTACTACTGTAGCACACAGTCTACTGTAGCACACACACAATCCTGAAAAACTAGAGATCATCTTGAGTAAATAGACAAACCAGTGGCCTATACATAAAATCATTGCTGTGTAGCACTTCTGGTGGTGAAAACGGGGTATTTTAATCATCTATTTCACCAAACAGTCCTAAAACACACATTTTCTCCCTCCATACTATGAAAATAAATATTTTTTATGCATGTGACACAATCTGATGTCAAGTCTTTATGAATCCCATTACACACATTAGCTCTTTACAGGAACTTGGTGTCTTGTAAACTGAAGCTTCCCATAACCTTGAATCTTGGTTCAGTTCTGCTTTTCTTGTTTTGGGCATAAAGGACAAACTGCATTTGCCATTACATTCATTGTGTTGAAATGTTAAAACACTTTGAGGACTCTGTGTACAACACGACGTGAAATGCGTTTACTTGTATGTTGGTGCGTCTCTTATAAATCTAAGTTATATATCTTTTTACTGTGTCTACCAAGAAGAAAGTCAACCACACAACCTTACAGGTCCAATTCTGAGGCTGTTCTTCCACTAGGAGAATGTTAATTTTGATAAATACTTTCGCTTCTTCAGTCAGATGCAGTACTTTCTAACTGTAAATGTATTAAAAATACGTGACAAAAATATTTTTAAAAATTATTCACAAAGATTATTTAATATGAAGGCAATAGGCAGAGTGTTACAGGTATAGCTCTAAAGAATGTAGCCTCATGAGCAGTGTAGTCCGTGTTGCAGGGAGAATGGACTGCCATACCCGCTATGTGTCTGTGAGCGCGAGGAGGGAGAAAAGGGAGAGTCGAAAAGTACGAGCTGTCATCGAGCAGAAACAGGAGATGGAAGCATGTAAATATAATAATAACCACTGCAGCCAA